AGGGCTGTCAAAAATAGCGCGTTAACGACGTTAATTCGTTGTTTGTCGTTAATTACGTCAATTTTTTTAACGCATTTCACGCATGCGCAGTGTGACAAATTATTCAGGTCAGGAAAGTGATTGGGACGGGAGCAAATGGCGAGATGGAGCAAGGTGAGCAAAGTGGGCCTATTGATGGATTCAAATTTAAAAAGAATGATGATGGTACAGTTAACAAGTACAAGGTTATTTGCAAGATTTGTAACAAGGAGTTTCAATTTCACCGGAGCTGTTCAAGCTTGAGGTACCATGTCAACGCCAAACATGCGTTTGCTGGGTCGTCAAGTTCAGCAAGTGGTTCGCGCCAGACCACGCTGAATTTTCGCGGGCCATTAACAAAATCAACCTCAGATAATTTGACCAACAAAATAGCAAAATGGATTGCAAAGGATTGTAGACCCGTTAACATTGTAGAAGACTCGGGTTTCATTGATGTTTTGCGAGTGGCGTCTCAAGACTCATCCTACAGGCCACCGTCAAGAGCCACAGTTTATGACGAAAATCCACGAGCTCTATCAAAACGAAAAAGAAAAAAGGAAAGAGGTCTTGGCTCAAGTAAATCATATCGCCCTGACAGGAGACCATTGGACATCATTGAATAACAACAATTACCTCGGAGTAACTGCACATTTCATCAGTGACACATGGGAACTGAAGTCTTTTGCGCTGACTATATTAAAAACTGAGGAGCGTCACTTTGCGGAGGCTTGTAAAGAACAGTTCTTGTCTGTTGCACGTAAGTGGGACATCGAGGGCAAGACGACAACAATTGGGACTGACAGTGCACGCAACATGGTTGCCGCAATTCGACTTACACGCTATGAACACATGAACTGTGTCGCTCACATGGTGCAGAGAAGTGTCACGGTGAGTCTTGCTGACAGCGGCTTTGTAAATGCTTTGGCGAAGGCTCGCAAAGTTGTCGGTCATTTTAAGCACAGCCCAGCAAATGCTGCGGAGCTTCAAGCACAACAAGTCAGTCTGGGAAAGAAGCAAGAGCCATTGATCCAGGATGTTCCAACACGTTGGAATTCGACGCTGGAAATGGTCAAGCGCGTGAGCAGAAATAAAGAGGCTGTCATCGCAGCCCTGGACAAACAGGATCACAAACTCGTTTTACCGACCGCAGCAGAGTGGGATAAACTGCAGAGGCTGGAGACACTTCTAGAGCCATGCAGGTAAATCAGTCTGTAACTTATTAAATAACATTGCTTTGATTATTTCCTGGAATTAATTAAACCAAGTCAAATATCAATAACATGTATGTAAATAATAATAATTATAATGATAATAATAATGATAATGATGATAATAATAATAATAATGATATTTTGATAACCACTGTTCAAATAATAGACTGTCTCTGTGTGCATGTGTGTGCGTAGGTATGTAACTGAGCTCCTGGGTGGAGAGGCCTATGTCTCCTGTTCTGTGGTACTACCTTCTCTCTGTCACTTGCGTCTCAAGATGGAAGCCTGTGATGAGGACCCTGCATATGTGGTGAGATTCAAGACCAAGTTCAAGGAGGACCTAGCATCCCGTCAAGAACAGCTCAACAATGCATGGCTCCAGATTGCTACAGTTTTGGATCCTCGTTTCAAAGACTTGAAATGCCTGCCTAAGACAGACAGGGAAGCGGTGTGGACCACACTTGAACGGATGCTGCAACAAGAATCACCCAGAAAGTCTTCACAGACACATGATGATGGGCCACCCAGAAAGAAAATCAGCCTTCTGCAAATGGGCTCAGATTCTGAATCAGAAGATGAAGAGGTCCAACCTGCCATACAGAGGTACAGAGCAGAGCCCACCATTAAATTGGAGGACTGCCCCTTGAGGTGGTGGGCATCTCATTCAGGAGCCCATGAGAAGCTGGCCTCACTAGCTCACAAATATCTAGCCACTCCTGCAACCACTGTTCCCTGTGAACGACTTTTCTCAGTTGCAGGTCACATTGTGAACAAGAAAAGATCAGCTTTACTTTCAGAAAACGTGAACAAGTTAGTTTGCCTCAGCAACTGGCTGAAAGATGATGAAGCTCAGTAGATTTAAAAGGTGATGTTCAAACAAAAAGACCAGTTTCAGTGCAACATGTTATAGTAGTTAGCAACTGGATTTTTGAGCAACTGGATTAAAGAATGGAGGAAAAGTTAAAAGATTGTTCTTTCTTTGGTTTGATTAAAAGTTTTATTTGAAAATGTTTTTTTCCACATAAAAACGCAACAGATGACTCAAATTGTGCAAAAATATGGTAGGTCACTGTTATGATTTGACTACATTTATTGCTTTCTCTGTTCAATTGAATGCTGTAAATTGTACATCCTGGTTAAGAGGAATGCGATGGGACATTACAAAGACAAATATTATGGTGTGTAGTATGTTTCAGCTTGATTTAAACCACCATTATTGGCTGTGTTAATAAACAGACATATTATGAAAATTATATATCTTGTCCTTTTTTTTATCTTTTGGTATGCATTTCAGAAAAAAATGGTTAGGATTCAGGTGTAATTGCAAATAGTGATTAATCATGATTAATCCACAAAAAATTCTGATTAATTTGATTAAAAATTTTAATCATTTGACAGCCCTAGTTTTAAATTAACTACTTTTTACTTGAGTAGATTTTTAGACTGGTATTTTTACTTTTACTTAAGTAAACATTTACCAAAGTACAGTAATAGTAGCCTACTTTAGGTTGAATAACATTCTTCCAGTTTCACCTCTGATTTTATAACAGTAAGTTACTCTAAAATAGTTATGAATTATTAAAAACAAATGACATCTTCAATGGTGTAGTTAGATTAATGTAATAATTACAATCTCTAGAAAGTATTGGTCTACATATACATATTACTATATCAACCTCAACCACTTGATTAATACAAGGAGGAGAGACAAGAAACTGCACTTAAATTAACAATATACAATTGTATGAATTATTCTTGAATTGACCAAAGTGTGTGGAAGATTACATAAAAATGATACCTTTTAAAAATGTATGTTACATCCACTATTGTTTTATAGTGAATTGGTCTATAGTTTATGCAGTAGCCTATTTAATGTAATTGCATCATATTTTATTTTAAATTACAGAAGAATTAAGAGTAATCCCTTTAATTAAATTACAATATTTAGATTACTTGGGGAAATAAACACCCAACACCTCTTTTTGTCTGGCGCTGTTGCCATGGTGACTCATAATATCTGCGCTCCATTGATAATGGCTTTTTATAGTTGTGGTGCACGCGTTTAACTCAAGCTGTGTCTGAAACCGCTCACTCGTTCACTCATTCACTAATTCCTATATAGTGTATGGCATTTGAGTGCACTATATCTGCAAGGAGTGAACGAGATGAAGTGAGTGAATTCGGACGCTGACGTTTACACTGTGCGTCGGAGAGTTGGAGCTGTCGCAGAAAAGGCTTCGTCACGCGTACTGATAAAACTCCTTTTATCTTACATTACCTACTTTATAAAATAATATTAACAACAATAACAATCATAATGACTTTATTTTGTAATTATACCTCCGTGCCAGCTTTGTAGTTTCATCGACTGAAATTGTACATTAACTCTCACGTTCACAGATGACATGTCGTCGAGCGCCCTCCGGCGACCGTTATTATGTTCAAAACGACGATTAACGGATATTTTTCAAATCCTCCACTGGATGTAATGTTTCATGCGCGCTCAGTTCTCTCCGCATTGGATTGTGGGAAATAGGGCTTCAGGAAGTGTACATCGAATGTACACTCGAATTCAGAGAGGATTGTGGGTAAAAGTAGTGAATGAATGTAGGGAATGATGTCGTTCACTCAGAATTCGGACACCACTACAAAATGGCCGACACCCGATATAGTGCACTATATAGTGGATAGGGAGCGATTTCAGACACAGCTTCAGTCAGTCAACTCAGAGTTGATTGAACTAACTAATTTCAGCTGTTCTGTAACGGAAAACTCAGAGTTTCCCTTCTCAGGGTAAGTCAACTCAGAGTTCAAGCTTTAACTCAGAGTTGGTTGAACCTCCTTATTGAAACAGGCCCCTGTTCTCCTTCCCGATCATGACAGGATTCTTCCAAGGAGAGATTATATGAATCACCACAATTCACCTATAAACCTTGTTTACACCTGGTATAAAGATGTTTTAACTTAGCAAGGTTATTTATAGGGAAATTAGAAAAAGAAAAAAAAGTAACTGGTTTAGGGATTGGCATGGTTACCAACATAAACATTGGTTTGTTGTGAATGCACAGCCCAGTGTGATGCTATGCAAATTATGTTAATTTGTGTATTATTACGAATATGTTCCTTTTCCCTTTTTGCTTGGAAAACCTTTTTGGTCCGAGGTTCCATTGTTGTGGCTAAGCTACACGCAGGGTTCTCAAGTTTGAGCAAAAGCTTGGAGTGAGATCACA